CTGCTCGAGACTGGTATGACATATGGGGTTATAAAATGTAAGAGAATCCCATTTTTTCTTTCCTAAGCTTGGACTAAGAGCACACCTATTTTATTTAGGAGGCTTAATATTTTCCCCATATACTCAAATAGACAATATTCAGGCTGTTGGGTTGCAGTATGCTCTTTTTTATTGCAATAATATTTAAAAAAAACCATTACTTGGCATCAGTACCATGGTGTGAAGCACTATCATCCTTTTTGTTCTCTTTTTAAAGATAACCATATATCTGGCTAAGTTGCATCCCTAGCAGATCGGTTGCTTGTAGGGCTGTGGATACCGCTCGTACATTGAGCAACTGGGATTCTGCCCCACAAAAATCCCTTTTTTTTTTCTTTTTTTTTTTTATTATTATTATTGGCCAATTGCAAAATTTCACGTATAAGATGAAGGCACTTTTACCCTGATGGAATTATATATGAGCAGATCCATGGAGAGAGGAGGACTAGGGAAGAAACTATAATGATCCGAAAGGGTTCTCACTATGAAATTTTTGTCTCGTCTGTCTTAATCATACAGAAAACATCAGGACTCCAAAAAAGAAGAGGAGAAAAAGAAGCCACACATAAAGAAACCTCTTAATGCATTTATGTTGTATATGAAGGAAATGAGAGCAAAAGTTGTAGCAGAATGCACGTTGAAAGAGAGTGCAGCCATCAATCAAATCCTTGGTCGAAGGGTAAGTAACTGGGTGAACCAGATGGGAGAGCCGGTACCCGGTAGTGAGGTCTGTAGTAGAGATCAAGGGAGTATGTTCTCCTTTTTCTAGGTAGGCTCTGCTCTGCCCGTTTTGGTGTAAATTCTGTCCACAATATTTCAAATAAACCAGCATCTTTCTGCGCTTTTTTTCCATTGGCATATTTTGTCATTGGTAACGTATATAAGACTGAAAGAACATGATACAACTTTTTTAAGTTGCTTCCTGCGGTAGGGACTGTTGTCCCCGATTCCTTGATATGTTGGCCTGAGAGAGAGCTCCCTGTGGAGCTTGGGAGGAGAAGAAAACCTGTGAAGGAGCTGGGGGATACAAGTACCAGAAGCTACACAGGCTAGAAGAGGGATGGGGCTTTTAATAGTTATGGAGATAATGGAGCCAAGGACCCTCTTCGAAAACCAAAGGTGATTCAGATCCTGGTCCCCATCAAAAATTATTCTCGCTGGGGCTGTTCTGTCCCTTCATGAAAACTGAGAATTGAATGACTGTAAATGATTCATGGAGTCTCATTTGAGCTAACCGGGTTAATCCAGAGTTATAAATAAAATATGAATGGGCCACATGCCAATTGCCTATTTTTATCCGGTATTTTTATGAGCACCAACTATAAATATATTGATATATAAATATACGCCATGCTATTTACATATGGTTTTTGTTTTGTTATTTTAACAAAAAGGGTGTGCTTTTTATTCTGTCGTTTCTCTTCCCCACTTCAGTGGCATGCGTTATCCAGAGAAGAACAAGCAAAATACTATGAGCTAGCAAGAAAGGAACGACAGCTTCATATGCAGCTTTACCCGGGCTGGTCCGCACGGGATAACTATGTAGGTTCCTATGTAGGTGGAAATTTTTTTAGTTGTAGAGCTTGTAGAACTGTATATGTGACCTGCTGAACTACGACCACACATTGCACACAAGCACTACGTGGAAAGGAATGTCTCGGGACCCCAATCCGGTAACCGCAGCGGACGCATCATCTGCATTACCAAAACAATTGGGTACAATTGACAGCCCTCCACTTGGAAGAGGCTTCCTGGCTGGGATTAGTAAAAGATGTAAAAGGTTAGATTTGAGGCTCTGTCTCAGTAGAGCTCTATGAAGAAATCTTACAGAGGGTGTCTGCCTTTAGTATATCAGCCTCTGCAAATGCTATTTGGCTTGTGGTCATTTAAAAAAAAAAAAAAAGAAAAGAAAAGAAAAATTAATTCCCCACAGTTCCTCCCCTCCTTTCCCACTGAAATGAATAATTAGTGTCTTGTGCTTATCTGTGTGAGAGTATTGTGGAAAGTGGAAGAATGACTTATCCTAGCTTCAGAGGAGGACTGGCAAAACCAGAAGTGTGACTTGTTTGAAAGTCTTACTCTCAAGTGGGGTTAAATAAATTATTCCACGCTCTACTGTTGTATATTCCAATTCTGTTATGCTTTATCATGGCCATGTTTTAATGTGCTTCTGTTGTGTTGCTCCTTTTACAAAAATGATATTGCCATTTGCAACAGATTGTTTTCAGGATGATAGTTTTTTTGTTTTTGGAGAACATTTTTTTTTTTTTTAGCAAGGTTTTGGTTGGGTTTTTTTTGTTTGTTTGGGGGCTTTTTTGTAGCCATCTGGTTACAAACTGAACGCCCGATCCTGATACCACCTACCTCAGATGTAGCACTTTTCCTTCAAGAGGAGTTAAGTGGTACATTTGGTAGAACATGCTTACAAGTTTGAGACCATAAATCCTCAACAAACTTGTAACCTTGAGGGGTGGTAGAAACGTTAAAATCTCAGAATGCAATCATGGAGCAGCCTTGATTCTTTTTTGTTGTTGTTTTGTTGGGTTGGTTTTTTGTTGTTTTGGGGGGGTTTGTTTTTTTTTTTGAAACCTCCAAGTCTCTGACCCTGAAAAGAAGCATGCATCCTCATAGAATCGCATTGACTTTAATGAAGTCCTTCCATGCAAAGCTCTTTTCAGGCTCAGAGGCCACATCTACCAAATTGATGTTGATTGCCCTTTGCCAAACTTTGTTGTTGTTGTTTGCTTTTTTGCTTCAATCTGTATTCTGTCCAACATGTTCATGCCATAGCCATAAACATTGTTCTGCTATAAAGCACACAAACTATGTGCTTTGTATATAGTTTTGAATACCTGTATGTGTGTTTGCATTCAAATGTATATGGAACAGGTTAGACGAATCACAGTGTGCAACAAGATAGTTTTGCAGTCGTTGTAGAGCTCCAGATGTTTCAAATGCTGCAAAAATGTGTTCTTACCATTTATTACCTGACCATATTTAGTATGAAAATCCTCTTGTTCCCGCCCTCTCTTCCCTCCCCTCTTTCTTTCAACTCCTCTTCTCTCCCTTTATCTTTCTACCCTTGCATCTTCTTTAGAGAGAGAGCCACAGGCATCTCCCCCACCAAACACACTTTTCTTTGCTCTTCGGTATGGGCTGGGCTGAGACCATCCGACCGAAGGGTTGAGCAGTTCTAGGTGCTGCGCAGACTGATTTCCCCTTGGGAGTTCAATAGGGAGTACTGCTAGGACCTACAATGTGCTTAAAAGCTTTCCAGGAATGTTCATTCTGCTTTAGTGACTGTGTTTCTGACAGATGGCCATGTACAGTGTCTTAAATGTTTAGGACCTTTACATTTGTCCTCAGCATGTGAGCACCAAGAAACCCTTTCTTCTCGAGCTAAAAAGGCAGGATGAGAAAGCTGATGCTTTCCTAGCAGCTTGATGTATCCCCAGCTGACCTTCAGGGGGAACCTTCCTTTCTGTATGAGAGCTCAATAGCCTCTCATCGCACAACCACATCATCTACAGAGTTTTTCTTTCTTTCTCTTTTTTTTCCCCCTTGTCTTCACTCTATTCACAGTTCTTGCAGTCTACCCCTCCTCTGAGGCTTTCTTTGGACAGCTGACTTTCCAGGGTTCGAAAAGGCAGGTGTGATGGGGGTATCCTTTGGCAATCCCAGTGTCTGCCCAATGTCTGTCTTTACATCACACAGGTACCCATAGCTCCTCCCTTAAGAAATGCAATAGCACATTTAATTACTGCAGCTTCTCAGCCTTCCCTTCAGCTGAAGAGGGTATGTTGAATGGGATCACATCAGTGTTGTAAGGTTTATTGGGTCTTACTGGTGCTTTTTTCTCAATGAATGCTGACCTCGGACCTGTGTATGGGTTCAGCAACATCACCGTTGCTCTTAATTGGAGAATCGGTATTAAAAAAAGAAAAGAAAAAGGACAAAGGTCTCAGAAGTCACTTGGACAAGAAAAAGAAGAGGGAATCTGCCAAAAGAGTGAGCAAGTGTTAATATCCAGATATAGATTTCTCACCACTAGAACCCTTGCATAATGCAGTGCCAGAAAAGTCCTTGGACCTTGTCATTTCAATTTGAGTAGGACAAGTAGGAGACAAAGAAGAAGAGTGATCTACTGCAAAGACTCCTTAAGAACTGCTGCTTGATTACATGGACCTATCCACGACTTTGTATTATCATATCATCAGGTTTCTTCTGATGCTGTGGACAGGTAAAACAATTGCAACACTTCTAAAGGGGGAGAGGAATTACCGCAGTTCTGCTGAATCCACAATAAGTGTTTTGTCTGTCCTCTCCTTTTCAGGGTAAATGACTACTTTTCATTTCGGGGTAAATGACTGCAGTTTAGCTTCCCTCTATAGCAAGTTAGGAGTGGACAGAGAAAAGTTACAGCAGATCTGCGAACATGCTTATGAAGTGCAAGCCCAACTTCCATTAAAACAGTATAATTGTTTCATCGCCATAAGACAGGAATTTGAAAGGCTGGTAAAATTGTGCTTTTCCCTTAGTCTCTGAGGAGCCTACAGAAGGATTTTGTTGGCATCTTTTTCCAATATTTATCCAGATGGAGCAGTTTCCAAAGCACATGTTGAAAGGGGACCAAAAAAATAAAAACAACAAACCAACCCTGGGGTAAATTCAAGCCCTTCTTCAGCCATTTTTAGTAGATTATTCTCTGAAGAGCTTACATAACACATTTGGTGCCTGCACGTGAGCCCCGAGGCTGCTCCAATGTGTTGTAATTGCAGCACGTGGGAACAGACTGTATTAATCAAATCTGGAGCATGATAATTACCTTTCTTCAGCCAGCCTTCACATCTCACGTATCAGCATCCCCGCACTGGAGTGTGGCAGCAGGGGCACTTTGAGATTTAGATAAAGTGCCCCCACTGCCATTTTGAAACACGTGGGCACTGATGCATGAGATGCTCCGAGCGTTATAATTGGACGCCCCCCCCCCCAAACATGTGTAAAAACACCCTTTGACACCTGACTTGAAGAGGATGCACAAGGGGCTGCAAAGGACGTTTATTTTGTTGGGCTGCCAAGGACGTTTTTGACACTCGCATCTCTGCCTCTGCTGGCCGTGGCCTGGAAATGCTATAGTTTCTTGAATTGGGGCAATCCTTGCATTCTCGGGTGTCCTGCAAAAAAATACGAATGCCTTTATTGTGTACTCAATTCCAGCTGTTACTTATTGAAGTAAAATTCAGTGGGCCTGAGATGACAGTTTTTCAATCTGGAACCTCTTCATTGACCTCAGTAGAATTTACTCTTAATTTACATCAGTGTGTGAGGCCCTGGTTATTTTTTTGGTCTCCCTACCGATCAGCAAGTGCTATTTTATTTCTTCTCAAGGTCTGCAGAGATAGTGACTCCAGCACCTTCCTGTGTCTTGGATCTTCATCAGACTTTCCATGTTAGAGACATGGGTGGCTGAGTCGGGGGGGGCACCAGATTGCCGGTAGGGGAGGGTGTCCCCCTGCGGCCAATTGCCGACTGTGGGGGGGTGTCCCTCAACGGCTGATCGCTGAGCCAGCAGCAAAATTGGAAATGCACATCGACCGGCACTTCCAGTTTCGCGGCTGGCGTTTCCCAGGAGTGCACGGCCAATCTCAGTGGGTGCATGTGCACCCCCTATGCATTGCCAATGGTTAGAGAAGTGGCTTCTCATGCAACTGTATGCTTTTTTTTTTTTTTTTTTTTTTTTTTACAATTTTACTTTCTTCCCCCCACCTCCAAATTTTACTGAAGTATAGCCAGAGATAGCAGTTCCCCTCTGAAAATCATCTCCGAGGGAACGGAGACAGGTTCTCAGTAGAAGTAACCGGGTCACAAAACTACAGCCTTGTCCATTGAAACTGCACACACAGCCCGTCATTCGCCAGAAGGTTCCCTCGCACAAAACTGTACTTGTCACGTCCAAGACAGCAGGGTGGCAGTTTGCTACCTGAGCAAGCGAAGAGAAACAAGTTTGGCGGCTCTTTGCCAGAAGGCCTACCGGAGTTTGGAACTCCACCTTCAAAAAGAGCATTCACATCTTCACTTTCACTCCTTATTACTACGTTCCAGGGAACATAAACATCATAGTGGACATGCTGAGCTAAAGCCAAAATGAACCATTTAGATGGGAGCCAGACCAAGTTATTAAAGAGAAGATGTCCGAGATCTAGAAGAACCTTCCCTCCTCCTTGTAGGTCCTGCCAAACATTCAAAGGCACTGCAAGGTGCCTACTTTCAAGATGTGTTTTTTTTCTGGCTTCAGTGACTCCCTTGTGCTGCTTTTTTCTTTCTTTCTTTTTTTTTTACTAATTCCTCTTATTCCCACTCCTTCATAGGCAGAGATCACTGCTGCTTATAGCTGACTCGGCTGGTCCAGAAGGTATCCAGGGACCCCAGAAAGTGACACGGATGCTGTTCCTTTCACTTGAAAACCTTCTTAGTCTTTTTATTGCTCTGTTAGCTCTGTCCCTGTGTGCTGGGAGGAAATTTAGGGGAAAAAAAGAGGAGAGAGATCTGTTTCTCTTTCTAGCCCATAGTCAGCACTTAAAAGTCTTCTCTTCTGTCCGGAATCGGGTTAATTAGAGGATGCCTCCTAATCTTATGGTGATGGCCGGCTTTGTGCGGCACAAACACACCCACGTCACCTTCTTGGATTTTGATGGCACATGAAATGTACTTCTTGGAAAGTGTTTGGGAAAGGACCCGGTTTTAGTAAAACTCCAGTATTTGTATTCTGGAAGGTGTCTTGGATATGGCATGTTTATGATTTTTTTTCCCCCTGACTGGCCTGCTCAGGGTTTTCTGTAAATCCCGAACATGACACTCCTGCATGTCATCTTTCCCTGTCCTTATTGCTCCTCAACCCTTACCAGTTTGGCAGGAAAGTATCCCTGCCTATATTCCCAAGCCTGAGCTTTCGTGCTCTGTCTGCCACCGTCGTCATCAACATGGGTATGGCTGTGAAATGTGTTGGCCTGTTCTAGGTACCAGGATGGCTGGCAGCGGTGGGGGGAGTTGAGGTGCCCTCATGTTTCTTTTCCTAACTCTTCCTGACACGGTTTCCACTTCCGACCCTTGTTCCTTCCTTTGGAGCCCTTTGTGGATGCCGCCTTTACATGCGTGACTCTGGTAAAGGCTCTTCCACAACTAGAATAAAGGGCTACGAACAAGGTGGGCAGGCAGGACCATCACGTGGGTGTGAACAGTGTCACCTCTTGTGACTTCTCTGAATTCCCCGAGATCAGAGAGTGAGCTACCCCACGTCTAGTCCAGACCTCGGGTCGGTGACATCGTAGTCTGTCGTGAGCTTTCGGGGCAGACTTCCCTCCTCTCGCTCAGTCTCTTCTTACAGGATGTCTGTCTTTCTTTTTTTTAATCCTTTTTATTTATGTATGTTTCCTGCAGGGAAAGAAGAAGAAGAGGAAAAGGGATAAGCAGCCAGGAGAGACCAATGGTAAGTAGAATAAGTCAATATACCATTCTTAGAGGAACAATGGAGACTCTGGCCTCCCATTCCTAAGGTGGAGGGAGGTGGGGAGAAGTCTAAGGCAAGGTTCTCCTGGCCTTCTGGGTAGCCAATTCCTCCCATAGTTAGCCTGTTTGTTTGTAATGCATTTGAATTTAATTGCTTAGTACTGCCCTCTTAGTTAACGACCATTGCATGGAAAGCGCATTGTAATGTTAGTTGAATTTGTAACTTAATAATCACAGAGCCTTTAACTGCAGAACCATAGCTGTAATGCCTATGCCATTGTTATCAAGTTGTCCGCTTATTGTGTGCGTGGGGGTGTGCGTGGGTGTATGTACGTGTGTGTGTGTGTGTGTGAGAATATGCGCATGTACATGTCCGTGTGTAGGCATTTGATATTAATTGGGCTGTACCTGTGTGTTCTGATGCATGCCTTACAGTGGTAAATCATGCCCATTTTAAATTAAGGAGGTTTGCCATTCTTTATAGGAAATTAGAAATACTGCATAGGCAATCTCATAGTCGATTTTGAAGAAGCCCTGACTTAATTTTTTTCAAGACTTTGTATAATTTGTTCTTTTTTTTCAGAACACAGCGAATGTTTCCTAAATCCTTGCCTTTCACTTCCTCCGATTACAGGTGCTAATGTCATTTTGAGTCATTTAAAATAGTTTATGAATTGCTTTTGATTTTTTTTTCCTGCCATTTTAGAATTTAACATTAAATACTTATAATATTTAATGAAAAAATACCATCCAGAAAGTTTTTATAGTATTTACATATATATTTATATCTATCTATAACATGTTTGGTAGTATTTTTTTTAATTTGTTTTTTTTTTTTGGTTTTTCGTAAGAATTGCTATGAAAACAGTAATGCAGTAAAAAATAACTCAGAGTTGTACTAACTGTGCAAATTGAATATGCAGTATTTCTTTAAAGAGACTGAAAAAAGGATATAAGCAATTCTGTATTGAACCTCCTTAATCTAATGGCATTTTTCATGGCTCCCACTAAGTCTTCTCACATTAGCATGCATACGCAATTTTTCTTTATTATTTTAGTTTTGGTTTATTTTTGGTTTTGGTTTTTTGTTTTGGTTTTGGTTTGCTTTCTTGCTTAAGCCTATTCATTGCAGTTCACTAGCTATACTAACAAGCCCCTCTTCCCATGCTTCACCCCCCCGGCTGCTGCTAACATGTTCATTCTGCAATCTGCTTACTCTTATTCATTCCTTTAAAAAAAAAAAAGAAAAAAAAAAAAGAAAAAAAGAAATGAAAATAGAAAAATTTAAATAAAAAATGATTTTTTTTCCCAAAAGCTGCATTATCCCAATAGATATAATTTTCTTTTTTTTTTTTCCTTTTCTCTTATTTTTGTTTGCATCTGAGTTGAAGGAAAAAGCATGTTCAAGATCTAACTTCCATACTTAGCTTCTTTTCTTCCTTCCCTACCCTCCCACCATAAAAGAGAGGAAAAAAAAGGCGTGCCAGAAACATCACGTTAAAGAAACCATAATCACTTTCCTCTACCTGCTCTCTTAAATGAGAAAGAGCCAGTCCTTGAGAAAGGGATACTGCAGCTTTAATTGCAACAGATAATTTCAAGAGTTGAATAAAAATGTGATTATCACTATTTTTTTCTTAACTTTGAAATCAAGTCGATATTTTGCAATTAATAACAAGGACATTGATTTTATTCCCTTTTTTTTATTTTTATTTTTTTTCTTATTTTTATCTTTCTCTTTTTTTTTTCCCCTTTTCTCTCTCTCCTTTTTCTGCTCGCTTCTTTCTTGAACTCATTCAGACCTGAGCGCTCCTAAGAAATGCCGAGCGCGCTTTGGCCTTGATCAACAGAATAACTGGTGCGGCCCCTGCAGGTGTGTATAGTTTTCCCAGACTCGCTATGGCTGATTTGCAGCTGGTTTATTTGGTACTTTCCCCTTTTTTTTCCTGCCTTGTTGCTTTGTAGTTCTGTGTTGTGATCTAGGAGACGCAAGGGAGTGGGACACTGCCATGAGTTATCTTCTCTCTGAAAGGGTTCTGCTTTTTATTTCCTTCCTCCTTGCTGCCGCTAGCCAAAAACCCACTGTAAAACAGCATCAGCCTAAGCATATCTGATCCGTGACTGCAAACACAATCCTGCCCTCCCAGCCTTCTCCCGAGAAATGTTGCATTCTCTCTGAACATGACCAAGGCCCTCTGATAATACAGCACTGAGTGTGGTACAGATCCTGGGCAAGAGCACAGCAGTCATGGTCTTAGAGATTTTTTTGTTTTGGCTCATTGTGGAAGTCCTCTTTCTTTCATACCATTGGTGCCAGGGGAGATTACCAAATAAAACTGAGACGATTAACGAGAAACGTAGCTGTAGCTAAGATGACACGTCCAAATGAGCTCTATCCACCATTGTGTTGTATTTTTTGTGTTTACCTTATGCTAACAGATGCAAATACTCCAAAGAAGTGTCGGGCATTGTTCGGGCTTGACCGACAGAGTTTATGGTGCAAACCATGCAGGTATACTACCCAATAGGCCTTTGGGGAAATAAAAGAAGTCTGTCCTCTTAGTGCATTTGTGTGATTTATTTTTTAACCTTTTCTCCCACCCCTTCCACCTTCCTCTCTCCCATGGCATCAGTCGCTAATAATCTTCAAAATACCTTGCTAATTTTTTTAATGCCATTTCCTATCTTTCTTTACCAATAACTTCTCCCTGGTGGTAGAATTGGGACCGAGCCAAACTTGAGGTGTATAAAGCTGGGACTTTTCAGACCTGTCAGCAAAAAGGAAATGCTTAGGTGGACATTGACACTGCGTCTGTTTGTGTGTGTGTGTGTCCACTGTCTCCAAAGGGCTAAAAGTCTGTGATCTGCAGCACTGGTATTTTTCTTTGTGATTAGAGGTATATAAGCCAGTGTTTACAGCTTATGTGGTTCTCATCCCATTGGCGCATTTGGAAAAATTTAAAATGCATCTAAATCAATCTGAAGATATTTCTGTAACCTATCATATTTTGAAACGATCCTATGCCATTTTTCTAAAGCTGGAAATAAATTCTTGCAATTTGACCAGCAAGTGAGCTGTAAACTCATGAGCTGTAGAGAAAAAAAAAATACTAATCGCAGCTTTGGTAGGCCAGTTTTCAGCTTTAAAAAGGAAGTGAAAGACACCAAGAACCCAAATTTCGACAGCCCATGTTCTACTACAGTTTAAACCAAACCTGTCATTCCACGGATAACTCAGTAGGTACTTCTTTCTTGGTGGAGGGATACCAACTAGCTCTTTTCTCACTCCTTTTCCTTAATGACCACATTTGGTTAAATTTGTTGTTTCTTTGTTCTGATACAAGCAGTCTTTGAATTTGGAATATTATGATGGTAGGTATTTCAACTCCAACCACACTCTGTATGTAGTACCTATTGTCTCCCCCCTCTCCCCCTGGTTCATGCCCTTGCCATGTGCTTCATCTCATGTAGACCCCAGATCAGATGTTCATCACATTACGTGCATGCACACAATCCTTTTGTTTCCCTTGATTCCAAGTGCAAACATGGATTGACGAATGTCTAAACAGTAGATAAGAGAAGGCTTCAGAGGACTGCATTCTCCTACATTTGAGCACTAATAAATGCCATTAGATGCATGCTTAGTACTGTGAGTTGTATGTGAGGTGCAAAGACAAATCATTTAGATGTCCGTGTCAATGTTAAATATCTTTGAAAGTAGCAATTTAAAAAAAACAACAATACCCCACCCGCCCCCAAAAAACAAAACAAAAACCCCTTTAAAATGGAGGAAAAAAATTCGCCTAGATTTATTGAATAGCCCCTGACTGTGAAGTACTCGGCTTGAATCTTGTAATAGCTAAAGACTCTTATGCTGTATTTCATTGGACCGTACTAGGTTAATTTAGGGTCCACATTCAGTAGATGCTTGTGTAGTTTATAGACCCTATATTTGACACTCATCAAACTTTGTATGCTCAGTCAGTGTACAGATTAGTTCTTACATCAGTTTTGGATCATTTATCATTCCTTATCCATTTAAGTTAACATCATACCTTTTAAAGATGCATTTTATCATTAGAAGGGCTTGTACTTTGATCCATAGGATTATCACTTTGGCAGCACATTGGTTGTGTGCTATAGCAATTAAAATCCTTTCTCACTTTAGTTTGCCTACGTTTACTTCTGCTTTGTTAGGCAACCGTTGCTGCAGGTCAGAATCCGTTTTGTTGGGACGGTTTTCATTATGTACTTTGACTGGAGCCAAATAAATGCCTTTTATAAGGACAGAGCTCCTAGTTTTATATTTGTTGACAGCTTTTTTTATTTTTTTTTCATGCATTGTGGCATTTTCTCATTAGGCAGAGTTGATTGCACAGTTGTCCTGGTGCTGGTCCCAATCATTGTAGGTTCTTACGTGTAGAAAGGTAGTTTTCCGTAGAGGTTCTTTGGGGAATAGGCTCTAAAGATGTGTGGTTTGATAATGCAACACAAAGCAAGACATCTTTGGTCACAGTAGGTGGAAGGCAGAGAACCCTTGTCATTATCTGTGACTTTCATCCTTGGCAATAGCAGTGTCCTTAGTTTTTGGGACAGTGTTTTAGGGCTAGTTTCACTGGTGATAGGAATGGGTGCAGCCCTATTGACTTCAGTAACGTTTATATATAGCACTTAACAGATTTCAAAACAGTGCACCAGTCCTAATCCTCACAATGTGTAATGAGCCCGTAGCATCCTTATGCCCATTTTACAGATGGGGTGACCAAGGGCACACGTTGAATCCATATGGAAGTAGGGCGAAGAGCTTGGGAGCACCTGGTTCACAGCTCTGCACTGAATCCCTACTCTGTAGTGACTTCCTTGCATAAACTTAACCCATATGTGACAGATTTGGCCTGTAGCCTTCTAATGATTTTATTGCATGCTCCTTGCCGAACAGGTACACACACACACACACACATGCACACGCATGCACGTCTGTGCTTCAGACAGAGCTAATAGTGCACAAGGGGAATGGCACAACCTGGGAGGCAGGTCTCTGTTAAATTAAACAATCCACAGAAGGAGAAAGTAGCAGTGGAAAAGAGTGCCGTCCTAAAATAACTAAAGTGAAAGGAAAAGAGTTTACTATGCTAGAATAGTGTTCTACCTTGGAAAGGATATTAACAGCCCAGCCCTAGCCCCTTCATGCCCTGGCCATGAGAAACTCTGCCTCTTCTTGTCAACCACGAGCCAAAAATAAAACTTGTTTTTAAAAAAAAACAGAAATATATCAAATTTAGGATATTGAGCCCACGCCCTGAATGGTTTGATTCTCTCCTGCAAAATAATGAGCCATTTCAGCTCCTTTTAAGATCAAAGACGCTGATTGCTTTTTGGACTACTGGGGTTCCTAAGGCAAGCACAGTTTGGGTCTCTCTATGGCAGGGACTTAGATTTTTTTTTTTTTTATTTTTTTTTTTTTGAACTTAGATTTTTTTTTTTTTAATTTATTTTGATTTTTTAAATAGCCATTGACCATGATGGTTTCAGAACCTCATGGAAGTCTATTCCCAGCTGCTGTACAAACCGACTGTTTTGAATTGCGGTTAAGGTAGCAAGCATTACACAAATTCATGCCAGAAAAGCTATCAGTCTGGGGGTGGGTAGGCAATGGCAGAACTAATCCAGCCCAGTTCATGTAGTCGTCTAATGCCCACATGTTTCCGGTGTTGTTGTTTGACGTTAGGAATTTAACCAGGTTCTGTTTTGAGCCCACCACGTTGCTTTTTCTACCTTTTAACTTTGCTTCTAATAAAGCATGGTTTGCTGCCTGACACCTTCTTCACTTGTTCTCTCTTTCTGTCTCTTTCTCATTCTTTATTTTTGGTTTGGTTTTGTTTTTTATCATCTTTAAGTGCTTGGATTTTTATTTTTTTTATTTTAGTTGTAGCATGTATTGATCTGCAGGCTAACGTGGTTAAAACTCTAATAGCCCTAACCATTTACCTTGCTGTGTGAACGTTTAAAGCAGAACCTCAATCTGTTGCTTTACTTTTGGAAAGAGGATTTTGCAAAGCTTTCAGATTTGCCAAATCCTTCTGTTGGAGCTGATGAGAGGTGGGGTGCCCGGTTGGCTATTCTGTGCCTGACCACGGACAAAATATATCTCGGTGTGACCGAGTAGCTGAGACTCGGGTCTCCATAGAAAGCAGCACCACAGTGAAGACAAAAAGCAGAGAGGCTTATTTCCACCATCTGGGTTGATAAAACAAAAAGCCCGTTGGTCCAAATACATTCTCCGTGCAAGTGGAAGCAAATCCATTGAGCTGAATGGAGCGGTCTTTGCTTACATCGCTGGGGGATTTTTACCCAGTGCCCTTCCTTTTCTGCACAGGGAGTCAGATGGACAACTAGCCCTTGTTTCTGTCCACTTGGTGTGGCCTTGCTTTATTGGGTTATCTTAGCAGTTGTGTTGTATCCACTGGAATTTGGTTAGAGATGCATTCTTTCATCTCTTTGGATAGTTGAACTATAAAAAAAAGACTTATGGCAGTAATATTTTGGGCGAAGCAATGCTGGTTTGCTTTAGATCTCCCCATAGACAAGTTGCGTTTGGGGAGGTTTCACTCGAAGAGTTGATTTGGCTCCAGACTTTCTTTCTGCGAGATGCTTTAGTCCTGTACCGAATTGGTTTTCTCCTACAACTAGAATTGTCTTGCATCCACGCGGCAAGAGAGACATGGCAAAACTCATCTGCTGTTCGTTACTCCATGACATTACAAAGTGGACAGAGGGAGGAGAGATTTGTTTTGGTCAGAGTTTGGTTTTGGGGGGTTTTTTGGTTTTTTTAAGGGCTTCATTTCTTGTGAGACACGTATCACTCGTGGTGTAAACTAAATTCCATGTTGCTCCTCATCTTTACGCCTGTTGTCGAGCTCTTCAACTGACTGAGATTGGAATCCTGCTTTAAGATGATAGTTATGGCCTCTCGGAGGAAAATCCCCCAAAATGCAGAAGAAAAACCATCCCCCAAAACCAACTCCTCCGCCCCAGAAAGAGAAAAGAAAAATTAACTTGCTTCAAACCACAACCTGCAGGCCATACAACCAGTTATTCTTGTTATTTTGGATCATTTTCCATTTCCCCTGTTCTTCTTCTAGTTTTCTTTTCCTTCGGTTGCTCGTTTTTCTTGCTCTTCTCTTCTGTTTTCTTTCTACCTGACTCTGACCTCTCTGGATTCGGTGCAGTTCCTAACCGAAAACAACAACCATCACCACACAAGCATGTGCCATTGTTCACCGCTACCGTTGCTTTGCAAAGGTGGTGTTGTCTCTGCCTTCAGATGTCCGATGCTTCACCGCCAGCCTCTGATAGCGATATAGGGCAATTTGGAAAATTGGTTAGCTTTCTCTAATGTTTTTTTTTTTTATTTTATCAGGTTTCATTTTTTATTTTGTTTAAGGGAAGCACAGATCAGAGACTAGCATACTGGGCTTAAAGACCTGGCATCCGATTTATGTATTAATTTTTTTTCTTTTAAATTGCCTGAACCAAGAAGCTTACAGAGACTTTGTGTCTTCTGTCCAAATCTTCCAGCTAGACATTAGGTTCCTTAAGATCGCCGTTGCTGACGTACACCCAGCAACACTTCTAGGTCTGCCGTAGGCTCTGGGTGCAAAGTTTCCTGAGCCCTGCGTAGTTTTATTTGTGGCTCTTTTGCTTTAGATAACTTTCTCCATGAGTGTTTTTGCCCTTTATTCACAGATAACTCTCTCCCTGTTTCTAGGAGAAAAAAAAAGTGCGTTCGCTACATACAAGGTGAAGGCAGCTGCGTCAGCCCACCCTCTTCAGATGGAAGCTTACTAGACTCTCCTCCTTCGTCTCCTAACATGCTAGCCTCCCCCCCAAGAGACTCAAAGCCACAGACTGAACAAACGCAACCTCTCTCGCTCACATTGAAACCCGACCCGCTGGCACACCTCTCCCTGATGCCACCGCCATCCTCTTTAGTCCTGACCGAAACCGCCGCCAGCAAGCCCAGCGCCCTGTCTGCTACTAATTGTCAGAACGGGGCATTGGATCATCAGCCTGCCACTTTACAGCCGTCAGCAGCACCCTCCTCATCGTTAGCACAACCTTCGACATCCTCTTTGCATTCCCATAATTCGTTGGCCGGGACACAGCCCCAGCCACTGTCACTTGTAACCAAGTCTTTAGAATAGCTTTAGCCTCTTTAGCCCTTTATTTTTAATGTGTTGGGTATTTTGGATCAGTTATTTTGGTTGTTTTGGTGTTTTGTTTTGTTTTTTTCCCCCCTCGGGTTTTTGTTTTTTGTTTAAATTCGTGCCATATGGCTACATTAGTTGATGTTTATCGAGTTCATTGGTCAATATTTGACCCATCGTTATTTCAATTTCTCCTTTTAAATATGTAGATGAGAAAGCCTCATGATTCTGCCAAAATTTTTATCAACAGCTGTTTAAAGTCTTTGTAGCGTTTAAAAAAAATATATATATACATAACTGTTATGTAGTTCCAATAGCTTAGTTTTAAAGACTGATTTTAAAAAATAAAAGAGAAGCAATTTTGAAGCAGCCCTCGCAGAAGGTGTTGGTTCTTTATTATTTGTATTAAATACGAGCTTGCGAACCAATCATTTTACATCTGGTTTTTAAACCTTTAAGGGCACAATGAATGCAGTGCCGCTACTTTTTTTTTCTTTTTCTTCCTCGTGTGAAACAACCTTTATTGTGATGTTACTTGTTATTGTTTAAATGTACAGAAACAAAGGGTTAAAAATGTGTTAATATACCTTGTTCCATGGTGTTGTTCTTTTTGGGGGAGGGAATGCTACACACAATTAAAAGTATCACAACGCTATTGGACCAGTAGTATTTATTGCTTTAGAGATTGCTTGTTGTATCTGTATGTTGTCCCTTTTTAAATGTTTTTTTTCCTTTTTTCCCCCTTGAAACATTGTATAAAGTTTTTTTCCCCTTTAGTGTAAGCATCTTATATATAACAACTCATTTGTACAAGGTTTTTAAGTTTATATATAAATGTGTATATATATATTTTTTCGGGGGGGAGGGGGGTCTTGTTTTTTGTTTTGTTGTTTTCATTTCTTTTTTTTTTTCTGTATGAAACACAGTTGCCACCAAAAGGACATTTGCAGATGCATTTTAAAGGATCAATAGTGTAAAGATAAGTAAATCAAAAGCCATTACGCATACACACACGCATACACACACACACACAAAGACTTGAAAATTTAGCAAGGGAATTTTTAGTAACGTCCAAGCGTCTCGTTCAGAACTGCAGTTGAATCCCCTGCGACATTAGGACTGTAGACTGTGTGCAAAAATTTTTATGTGCCAAAATTCTCAGTGACTTCTAACTTTTCTCCCAATGACTTTTTATTTTTATTTTTTTTTAATGCTGTAATTTTTTTGTTCATCATGTTTTGCTGTGATGTTACATAGGTAGATATGTATGTAGTTTTAATGTCACCTATAACAGATGTGTTTGGTAGCAGATTGTCCGGAAAGCATTTAAAATGAAGAGGTGTAAACCCTTAAGGGCCAAATTCTGTATATTAGAATATTCATAAAAGGAAAATCAGACTGCCACTTTTATGTACACTTACTACATACAGGTAGGTAGCAAACTTAAAACAAAAAAAAAATCCTAGGCATGTTGATGTTGCAAAAAACGCTGTATAAAGCTGAAAAATTGTTCATCTGTTCATTCAGTGCCATTGTAGTTGACATGAAGCGATTGTAAAACTGTCTCAGATTTTTCTCTGGTTTATTAAAATGCTAACTATAACATTTTTTGTGAATACTTTGAATGTTTCCTAACAGTTGTGATGTTACTGTTCCGTTTTATGCTCTTATTCCGATTTTTCATTTTTAATGGTTTGGAAGCCATTTTTTGTAATGAATAAATGTTCATGCTGTACAGTATCTGTAGCATGCAGTTCTGGATTAATAAAAGCAACTTAGTATGTGCAGAGAATGACTTGTCAACTCATTTGTGTTGACTGCATTTTACTCTGGTCAAGTAGATTTACAAGATGTGCAAAATTTTCTAGGGTATGTTTCATGATAATTTTGCCTGGTTTTGGCCAGTTTTACTCATGAGAAATGGTCTTTAGTAACATAAAGTACTTTGGGGGCAACCCTACCCTTGTATTGTTAGATGCGTTTCATAGAAGGCTCTTCCTGTGCCCCGTAAAATGGGGGGGGGGTGTGTGTGTGTTACAGCAGTGCAATATTTTGTATTTTATTTTAAGCAATTAATAACATTGCTGCTGCTGCTATATTAACAACCTTGTTTCTAGGTCATATTTTACTTCTCGGTTGTAATCCTGACACTAGCAGGGGAAGCTAGGTCTGGTTATAATTTAATCAAAAAGAAAATGTGTTTGTTCAGTGCAGTGATCTTCACAATTCATTAGATCAGTTTTGTGCCTCAGTGGATGAAATTCCCCCAACTTGGAGCTCAGTGCGTGTGCATGCAAGTTCTTGTCAGGTCCCTTTCCACAATAATGGTTTTCAACTGGTAAAACTAGCACACATCGCACATTTTGAAATAAGAGGGCTTTAAATATACATTGGGTTTTTGAAAGTTTTGACTGATAGCAGCTACTTTGGATGGAGTGAAAGGGCTCCAAACCGAGGCAGCTAAAACAGCTGATTTAAAGAAGATATATGTATAAAAAAGAAAAAGGCACGTTTACCTAGAGCAAAATGCATCCCCATGCACGGCAACCAACACGGGCCCACCTTTTTACCCTCTCAAAATAGGGGAAAGGTAGGTTGTTATGTGGCTGCTGGACTACCTTTGAGCGTTGTAATTCAGGCACAGATCTGTGCACTATCCTGGCACAACCGGTCCTTAAATGCATTAATATAGCACCCATTTCAATTTCTCAGGCTCAGACATGCCAAGCTATTGCTTTTTTGTCTAGTGTCTCTATAGATAGGAGAGAAAATGCATGTGCTCAGGTGCGTTTCAGGGTTTTAAGTAAATGACTGACATTTTTAAAACCGACCTCAATACCCTTGAAAATCTTGACCGCTTTAGTTGGTGGGTGAGTGTCCTGAAGTGAACAGTGATTGTGAGCATCTTATAACATACCTGTTCAGTAGATTCGTATCGGTGCTTGGCTCTTCTACAGCTCTTTTTGTCTTGGTGCACTTTCCGAGATAAGGTAAGTCTTCTTTCCAAGGGGAAAAAGTGTTTTGCATCTAAGTCAGTCAATGGCTAAACCAGGAATGGACCCTAAGTATCTTGACTTCCTGCCCTACTCACGAGACCATGCTGTCCCCATAACATGTAATATTAATAACCTGCTAATCATGTGACCCAGCCTGATGTGCGGGGGGCTGTCATCAGCAACAGAATCCACTAGGGCATATAAATCCATTTTTGGATTGCCTAGCTCCATTTTACGATAGTTCATCTCGGAAGAAAATGGCTGTGAAAGGAAATGCAAGTGATCTCCCACCTACCCCACCACTAATAAAACCTAAATTGGACACAAACAACATCTTGGCTGAAGGATGGAGACAAGGGATCAAGGAGGCGCTCTTGAGAAAGTAGTTCCTGATGTTTAAACAGAGGAGTCAGCGCTTCTAATTACATTAAAAAAAAAAAAAGTTAATCTCATGAAGCCGTGCAGCAGCAACTTTATTTTCTGAAGTAAGACTAGCTAATAATGGATCATAAAAACTTGAATTTTCTCATGGTTCCTTCTAAGGGATTAGCCATCATAAACTTTTTTTCGGTTGATCAAGGGCCTAATCTTCACCCTCATAGCAAAATTCTCACCGACTCCACTGGGATTAGGACTGGATCTTGCCCTTTTTTTCCCACCTGCCGCAGACTTTTGTATGTAAAGATGAAGGAACTTCCCTCCCTTCTTAACCTGCCTCCTCCGGCTCACTCGCCGAGGCAGCAGTCCAGCGCTGGTGAAGCCATATTTATTACTATGGTTGTGACAAGGATGTCACCACCCATCACGGCAACTCTGATGCATCTGAAATGCATAAAATGCCAAAGCTCACTGTCATTGATAGTCAGGAAATTGAACATGATACTGGGATTACTCTCCAGCTACTCGAGGTTTTTTTTTTTTCTTTTTTTTTTTTTAAATGTTTCAGCTCTTGCGGGAACATGACCATCCATCAGCTAAACACATGTGTTGTATCAGTGCTGAGGATGGCTGCTCTCTTCCAGTATAAAACATTGCACTCTAGGGAGATCTTTGCGAGCCGTGATTCAAAGGAGTCGCCAACAAGGTATGATTCATATACGTTCAGCGAAATGTTTCTGTTGCTTGCTGTTTTATTAGCAGTTCCTTGGAAAGCTTGGCCCAAAAAAAAGCTGTTCCTGGACACGATGGTTTTCCTCGGGTGCATGTGACGAAGAAGGGCCTGGACACAATGGCACGTTGTAAAGGGCTTGCAATCGTGTGCGAACTTGCATTGGCATCTTGTTCTTGAGAAGTGGGAGGAAACGCTAGCATACAGGCTGGAAACAACATAGGTCCCATTTAGGTTTCAGTTGCTTCTCGAGAGAGACCTTTTTCCGGTAAGACCGTGCGTAGGCACTGTGGATATTTCCTCGGGTAGCTTTTTTTTTTTTTTTTTTATTCCTTCCAACTTGAGTCCATTTTCAGACTGGGTGAAATTCAGCCTTGTGCTGAGGGGCTCACTCGAGGGCCTAAGGAAAGGGAGGATATAACTATTAGTAATAATTTTTACTCCAGAGCAGCTAGGAGCCCCAGTCGTGGGCATGACATCCACTCCTGTTAGGTGTTATCCAAACACCGAGCCAAAAAACTGATTTTTCCCAAAGAGGTTGCAGTTTAAGTGCAAGACAACACTTATCCTCAGATCACCGAAGATCCTCCGCACAGAGAAAATTTCCAACCAGTGTCATGACAAAGGAAGAAAACCCACCAAAGGGCTGGGCTCATTAAGCAGCCTTATCCTGCAAGCCTTCCCCATGCCCAATTGCCACTGGAGTTAATGGAGGGGGGCTTTCCTTAGGCAGTAAGGCGCCCTAAATACAGCGAGCAATTCTCTGTAGCTATTGCTTCCATCTGTTTTTATGGGAGAAGTCAATGTATCTCACAGTCAGAAGACATTTATTTTCCATTAGCTTTGTAAATCTCATTTTTCACTTAGGGTATGGAATTTGAAAAAGTTTAATCAAGTTGCTGACTCAATAAACCAGTGCCACATGGTTTTAAGCTTTATTTAAAAAAAAAAAATAGAAGAATCTTTAGAGTCCTATTAGTTTTATTAGACCATAAAAGGATGTAAGGGGAATTCATAGTGAAAATAATTGCATGGGCCATTGGTGCAGTCTTGAAAACAAATAATAAAAAAGTGAACCCCAGTTCATGTGTGTGACAGAGCAGTTTGCAGTCGAGATGTAATATAGCTGTATTTTGCATGCAGGTATAAATTCCCCTCCTCTTTTTGATGAATCGGGTAAGGACATAAGCTTCAGTTGGACACAAATCGGTCTCGGTGAAGGGATAAAGGTGAAATACTATGGCATTATGCACGAGAGATGGGGTAGCTGCTCCAGCGGTCACTTCTGGCCTTAAAACCTATGAATACAGAAGTGCGAGCAAGATGCCAATATTACAAACATTTAGATTGGATACGGTTTTTTTAACATGGTCCTGGCGCAGCTTTAAATGTGGATTTTGTTGCATTTAGAGCATGCCCATATGAACAAGGCAACTTCCTGGCACAGAGGTAAACCTGCTGCTGGCACACTTGATCTTCATTATAAAAGAGTTAAGTATTCCCTGAGAGTCTGAATTAACCTGTAGGATGCAGCCACACAATGACGCACTCCCTTAGACCTGTTTTCACCTGAGGCTGGCACCTAACTTAATGGGGTTGCTTTTTCACATGAAAGCAAGGAGCCTTCATGGTACTTTTTGCTGCTTGAAGATTACAAGTTGATTGTTGGATGAATTCACCACGTACAGGACCAGGAAAGCCAGCTCTGGGTTGTGAGGCTCTCCTTACCTGTGTTGGAGTCATTTATTAAGATGCTCATTGCACTTGCCCCCATGAAAGGAGTCCAGCCGTGGTAAAAGGACTGAACTAAAGTAGTAAAAGCCCGGGGCTCTTGTGTGGTTCTGTAGCATGATTAATAACACATCCCGTGCCATCCGCACACGTGAGGACCAACCAGGCTACATACATGCTCCTCTGTGTAGCAGACAGAGGCCATTCATCTCTGTAGACCTTTTACAACATATGGCTCTGTATGCTGAGTCTTGCTTGGCTGAATTTAGAGGGCTCCTGTTCTGTGCATTTATCTGCTAGACCCAGCATAGCAGAAAGGCTTTCCAAAATCATTGCTATCTTATTTGCAAACAGGCTCACGCGTAGTTGCTGGTTCTCAGGTTTTGGCAGACACCCTGCTTTATCTTCCTAAGAAAATGTCTCCTTCGCTTTCTCATTTTAGATCTTCCCTATTGAACAAGCTGCTGCTTTTTCATTTGGATCCAGGCTATACCTTTTTAATCTTTCTTTTTTCTTTTCTTTTTTTTTTTTTTTTTTTTTTTTTTTTTTTTTTTTTTTTTTTTTTTTTTTTTTTTTTTTTTACCCCTTCCCTCCTTCAAACTTATATAATGGCACATTATACAAAATAGCTAAGCAGGTGGTATTTTTAAAGACAGTGAGTGAGCAATTTTTGGCCTAAATTTGGAACGAAACAGATGGATTTTAAGACTCTATGCTTTTTTCTATGAATAGTAACCGTTGTTCTCCTCGGCCTTAAACACCAGTTTCAAGACCACCTCCAGCAACCAATCAGCACTCTGTTATTTAATTATAACAAAATTCTTAGCTCTGTCTGCTGCTGCATGGGCAAGTGGGGGGCACTGGATCAACTTCTGGAGCCAGGCAGACTTGCCAACAATAATTTTCCTTTTCCCAGAGGGCCGAGGAGGCCTGGAGCAGGTTCCAAGTTCCTC